CAGCTGTTAACTCATTCATGCCACATCGCAGCTACTGTGCACAAGGAGGGACACACAGGAAGCAAAACAGGCTCTCCCTCAGGGAGCTTGCGTTTGAAGGGGAGAGAGGGAACAGAGGGAGGCCTGGGACAGGGTAACAACACAGCAGTAACGTCATCGCAACGGCCAACACTCATTCAACTGCACTCTGTGCCCGTGGCTGTCTAAACACTCTGCATAAATATCTCATTAGCAGCTTTAACCCCATTTTGCAGATGAATAAACTGTGGGCCATGCAGCTAGCAAGCAGACGGTGATAATAAATGCCATCGAGGAGCCCTGCCTTGCAGCAGGAATAACTGAATCATGCCGTGGCCGTCAAACACCTTTGACTCTCACTGCCGAGGACCCCTCCCCCCACCTCCTTGGAGCGAGTCCCAGAGGTCACCCTGCGGAGGAGGCGGCGGGGCAGCAACTCGCTGCCTAAACACCGCACATCTTTCATCGCCCCGGCTGTCGGGACGGCAGAGTCTCTCTCCCTAACGTGAGCCTCCCGTCCCAGACGATTTCACCCTGAAAGGAGGGTTACAAATACGCTCAGTTCACTTGCGAGTCTCCAAGGGCCGGAGGGCAACCATGACCAAAGAACCATGGTCTCACCTAAGGCGTCAGTGCCCTTTCTGAGAATTCTGGGGCGGCGCGTGTCCCACACAGAGCATTCATCGTGGGGTGAAACGACCACGTCCTTACCCGGGGCGGGCGCCAGCGGAAATTTCCCCGAAGTTTTCCCAAGAAGAATTTGGTACCGAAAGGAGATTGGCCATGTAATACTCATCATGAATAAAATGAACACACCATGGACAACCTCCATTCAAGCACCGGGCTAGGGCGCAGGCTTCGGTGCAGCCCCTGCGACAGGCCTGAGACGGACGGGATACTGAGTGAGGATGCGGTGACACGCCGGCGGGAAGACACGAGCTCTGCGGCCCGGCCCCATTCCGTCAAGTCCCCCCCCATGAGGTGCGACCCAGGGTCCCTCGAACTGAGTTCCCCATCCAGGAAGCCATTCAGGGAGCGACACGCTGCAACCAACGTGTGCAGAGCATCGTCTATGACACGTGGGGAAAGGGGGAGGGATGACCGCTTGTCAATCACGTAGTGGGTCTACAGTGACACTACTGCCTCCTCAGGGAGGCTGGCACCAGTGACAAATGATCCCCCTAGCAGTGGACAACAGACAGGGGACATCAACAGAGGACACGCACACACTCAGATTGACCATCCATTCCCACGTGGAAATGCAACTCTAGCTCCTGAAGTTGGCGTCGCCCCGGATACCGTAAGGCTAGATCTGATACTTGAAAACAGGTCTACCATGTATGATTCATCAACTAATACAGTGAATGCATCATGGAAGACCTCTCCTCAAGGACCACCAAGTCGCTCTGGTAGGCGAAACGCCACTTCTTCCCCACACGTGGCACCACGTCCAGGAATCTTCCCGCCGATGGGACGGCACGCTGCACATGCTCTGCAGTCAGATGTGGTCAACAGTCCCTCTGCTTACCCCAGAGAGAAGCTGACACCAAGGACCCGCCCTCAAGTTGGATCCCACCCCGGGAAGCCTCCAAGGCAAGATCTGGTACTAAAATATAGGTGGAACCATGTGTGATTTGTGACAAATAAAAGTGAAGGCGACCAGATAACCCATCTTCCCATACTGCCAATTAGCCACAACCAGGTGCCAATCCCTGTTCTCCAAAGCCAATCTCCTCCAGGAAGTCCCACTAAGGAGGGCGTGAACACTGAGGTTTAGTGGACTAACAGAGGGTTGTGTTCAACTGTCCCAACTCAGACCTTGCAGTAGCCCAGACATCAGCACCGGCGCTGTGCTTGGCAGGGTATCTAAGAAGCACTTCCAGGGGCTTTTAAGGTGGAGCGGTCAGGTGTATACAAATTCGTTAATATGATCAGAGTAGGGGACATTTCTTGCTGTCACATTGGAACAAAAGGGGACAGCAGACCCTCCAAAGGTGGAGCTGGTTCCATAGAGGCTGACTTTGCAATACTGATCAGATAGGAAATGACGGCATTAAATGCAAATGTTATCCCGTGGTGTGGTACTGACCTTGGAACTGTGGCCTCATCTCCAAAGGTGTGCATGACTCTCCCAAGAAGTCTCCCTCCTAAGGATAAATGGCATACCTGGTGTTAATAGTCCAGTAGACATATGGTCAAAAAAATAAATCTTCCATTGTTAAAAGTAAATTCACATACCTAGCAAATGGTACTGATTCCATTTCCATCCTAGAACGTGGCAAAAAGGATCCTGCCAATGTGGAAGATGGTACTGAGAGGAGGGTGCCTGGGGATGAATCCTTTTAAATAGACAGATGCAGATCGTGAATGATAATAGAGACATCCAGATAAAGATGGTCACGTGGGGCAAGACCACAGATTTTTTCCCCTCTTTTAGGGTATAATGAACTAATAAATGACCACTTAACTCAAGAAAAGAGCAACACATAAACAGAAAAGTACTCATACAAATAACAGAAGACATCCTTGAAATGAAGGAACAACGAACTAATATGATTCAGAAAAATTGATTAAAATAAAAATTAGTGACCGAGGCAGATCCTGGAAGAGCTAACAGAGAACCCTCTCCTCCATGAACACAGGTTTGATGGACAAAAGCCGAAGTTCTATCTCTCTCCCTTTCTCCTTTCCTCTCTCTGAAATCAAAGATATATTAAAAAAAAAAAAGAAAAAAAGCCGAAGTCAACTGGTAAATAAATAAATAACTGAAAGGAATGAAAGAAAGGAAAATTCTCAGCTGCTAATTAAGAAAGAATTTAATTCAGAGCGGCAAGTTGACAACTTGCTACCAAGAGACCTAAGGGACCAGAGGCTCAAAGAGTCTGTAGTCACAAGGTCCAAGCAGGAACTGGAGATGTGACCTAGGGCCCGAGAAGTGGGCACCTGGAATGGAAAGGGGAGGTAGAAAACTCTATACAGGCCCAGAGTAATGATAAGAAGAGTTTGTGCCTGCCTGAGCTGTGGGTAGAATGAGTTCTCCTGTGAGAAACAAAGCTACAGGAGAGAGATGGGTGAAGATTTATAACAGCCATAAGGTGTGGGAGTCCTCGAGCCAACAACTAAGAAAGCTGCTTCTAACGGTGAAAGTCATGGGTGCTAGACAGAATCAAATGTAGAACCATAATGTCACATCTCTTTTGCACAGGGAACAAAATAGAACAGAAACACCTTAATAACCCTGATGATAACCCACACTGAAAAGTTACAAAATCCACGGAGAAAAGCACTATCTTGAGTCACAAGACTCAAAGAGAAGGACTTGTACCCCAAAGCTGAGAGAAATTAAGTATCTTTAAAGTGGCTAAAACAATGAAAAAGAACTGGAAATCATAGAGTTGAGTAGAATAGTGTGGGGGGAAATAGGCAGGCGAGTAAAGGTGTATGATCAAGGGTTAGACATCCTCAGCAAATAAAGACCTCAGAGACTATAGTGCCCAAAAGTTTTTCAAAAAAAGAATATAATGATCTACCAGATAATACAGTCCAGATAATTAGGAGCTATGTGGAGAAACCACATGAAAGAGCTGGTGAAATACCAGCTCATGCAGAAGACAGTGGAGCAGTATCTGAGCAATTCCAAAGGGGGAAAAAAAGCAAGCTGAGAATTTTATACCTAGCTAAGTTGTCCCTTATGTATCAAAAGCAAGAGACAGATATTCTCAAGTGTGCAAGGCCTGAGAAGTGTCTATGTGCCATTCTAGAAGAGACAATCATAAAATATCCATTCCCCTGGGAGATTAATTAAAATTTAAAACTCAGGAATAGGCTTCATTTAAGAAAATGGGGGTTTAGTAATGACTTCATTTACATATAGAGCTGTGATGAAATGCCTGCAAGAATTGTGGTTAGAGAACAAAATGCAAATATTTTAAATTTAATTTAATTAAAAAAATGTAATCATTGTAGTAAAACTCAAGCAGGAGGTGGGGTAAAGTGTAAGGATGCTGATATCGTTATATTTCAGAGCTAGAAGTGAAACTGAACAGTTAAAAAAACACAATGATCCCATCATTGGGTATTATACACAATAAATTTTCTCAATTTTATAAGGACATTTTAGGAATTAGTACTTTTTATGGTAAAGCAGAACATTTATCAGTTCTCCCAATCTTCTTCAGATTATCTTTATGTCAATTAAGCAAAACTATAGTAAACATTTTCAATAAAAATAGTAGGTACAGTGTATCTCATATTTGTAAAATATTTTTCTTTATCTATCTTTCTATTTGCATATTTGTTCAGACAGGTATTTGACATTTCTAAAACCCCAATTATTTCTGGATACACAAAGAATTGGGTAATTTTCTCCCTTTTTCCACATTGCTTGAATTTTTATTCTAAGCATGTTTCATTTTTATAATTATGATACGGTAAAATAATTATTCTTTTTGAAAAGAGAACCAAGAAATTGAAAACAGAACTGACCTCCATCCTCAAATTTGGTATGGCTTCCAGGTCAACAGGTGTGAATCTCTTTATTCAATCCATCCAGAAAAATTGCTGAAACCTTGCCCCTTCCCTGACTCTGCTAACATATCTAAGAAGTCCTCTCTCCAAGATAAGATTTAATACTAATAGGGAAGGGGACTATCGTGTTTTTTTTAAAAAAACATCTCAGAAGCATCACGGTCACCCTTATTTCCCTAATCACTTAGGGTCTTAAACCTAGACCCTATGCTTCTTTCCCCTAATGGGTAATATCTTCCATAAACAGACTGAATGACGATAAGGGGCACTAGTGACACCTATCCACTAGTTCCTGCACCAACCAGAAGTTCAAGTACATTGGCATGGAACCAACATGAGTGTGGCTTCCCTGAGACTGGCATCAGCTCCTAAGATACCTGGCGAGATGTGATACCGAAAAGAGATCGACCGTGTATTGGGCATCATTAAATAATGCGAACTCACCACGGACAACCTCCCTCCAAGTACCATGAGGTGGCACTGCTCACAGCATCCCTGCATCCACGAAGTCTGGGCAGCTTGGGAGTGGCTCTGAGGGTGGATGGGACACTGAGGATGAGTGGACCAACTGGTTCAATTCCTAAATCAAACCCATGCTCTCCGGCCAAGCCCTGGTTCACCAATCCGGGATTAGTGTGAACAGGAAGGCCACTTCCTGTACTTGGCTAGCATGCAAGCAACACTCAGTAATGCAAAGAAGTCAGCCACTTAGGAGTCATTCTAAACGAAGCAAAGAGCTCTTGAAAGACCACAGGTTTGCAAGAACAGGTTAACCGCTGCCTCCTTGGTAAACCTGGGGTCACCCAGGAGTTCCCTGGAGGAGGTAGGGCTGCTGCAGGCTAGTAAATGAGGGGTCATGCAGGTCCTATGTCCTGTTCTCTTCTATATCCCGAGAGCTGACTAAGAAAAGATGCTTCTACATGCCCCTTCAAGGTTGCATTTGATAGCAAAGAAAGTTAGCCATGTGCATTTCAATGTTAATTTCTTTACAAGTTAAGCATCCCCACAACCTCTCTAGCTTCTCCTAAAGTTGGTAGTGCCCCAGAAAGTCGCCTTAGGGTCAGTGCGGACACTGGGTTAGTGCGTAGGTAGCGTGCATCCTCAGGAAAGCACTTGCCGAGGGCTCAGCCAGCAGGGCACATACCTCGCCATCAGCACTAGCTCAGGCAGCCCTCCGAGGCAGAATTTGATACTAAAAGAGAGGAGAGCCGTGTATGACTCGCTTTGATGAATCGAATTCATCACGGCCAGCCTCTCTCCAAGTACCATAAATGAATGCTGGTGAGCCATCCATCGTCCCTCCTGCAAGGCGCCGCCCCTCCCGGGAGCCCTGTAAAGAAGGGGTGGAACAATATTGGGTAGTGGGCCGAGTGACATACTACCACATTTAATCGCATGCTCACCCGAGACGCACTTACCCTAAGTGGGTGGGTGCAGTTCGTCCTCCTGGCCAACAGGGGCACCGTTTGACGGCTGCCATAAAGTCAGCACGTCACGGTAGCCCTTTGGCTCTTAAGATGAACCATGACCAACTCCTGTGGAGACACAAGTGGTAAGGGGTTAGAAGACTGGGTGGCACACTTAATAAATAAAGCAGGTGCTGGGTGAACAGTCACACACCATGGAGAGGAGGTGGCCCGCGAGCTTCAGGTCTCTCGGTAGAAGGCAATGTCGAATCCCAGGAATGCTTCGAGGAGGCTGTGACAGTGACAGTGATGAAGTGGCAACCAAAGGATGATTCATCACATTTTAAGTGAACACACACCCTCCCAACCACGGCTGTCCAGGTCCAATAAACAGCCACTGCCACAAGTCCATTTCTGCTTGCCCCAAGTTGGCAGGACCTCCACAAAGTCTTCCTGGGTGGGTGGGGTGCTGAGGGTTGGTGACTAGGTGGCCCACAGGGTGAACAGTGCTTGCCCCTCTGGTCAAACCAGTCACACACCCTGGATGGTGCTCACACCAGCATCTCTTCCAGAAGTTGGCTTTGGGCCGGGGAAGCTGCTCTTCAAAGTCTTGGAGGGTGACTCTGTTGACAGAACCAGAGCCATTTCCCCTGAGTTGGCATGGCCCAGGGGAAAGCCTCCTACAAGTGGGTTGGATGCTCAGGTTAGCGGACCAGAGGACTTACAGCTAGGTCAAGCATGGTGTCCCTGGCCAAGCATCTGTTCTTGTCTTCTCCACATGGTTGACAACGTGAAGACGTCTTCCTGGAGTCCCGCTGTGTCCAGGAAGCCCTTAGAGGTAGCATTTGGTACTGAAAAAAGTGTTGTCCGTGAATGATTCGTCATAAGTAAAGCGAATCCACCACGAACAACTTCTCCTCAAGTACCACAGAAAAGCAGAGACCAGACAGACATGGGTCCCCTTCTACTTCTCTGAGGGGCGTGGCCTCCGGCGTGGTCCTGTGGGCAAATTGGAAGGTGTTAGTGAGGCGGCTGATGTATGTCCTGAGAACACACAGGAGTCCGGGGGTCATCTACTCACCTCTTCTGGAGGGGTGCCGACACAGCCCCCTGCCCTGGGGTTGAAACTGTTCCTGAGTCATCAGGGGCAGGGTTCAGAAATGAGAAGAGGGAGGCCACTGTTGTCCTTCACAGTGTGAACTTGTCACAGGAGTTCTTCATGTATGTGGACGCAAGGGTTTCTGAACAGGGACCTTGGACTTCTCAACAGAGCACACTCAGTTATCCATCAAGCACATAGAGGCACTAGCCAAGCCCCCTCGTGACTTACGGGATCCACTGAACTGGGGGCAGCTCCAGAGAGAGCCCTGTGGCCACTGCAGGGTGCTCCTGGAGAGTCGGCTCAGCTGGGGCCTTGACGCACCCTCAGGAAGATCTGAGGGAGGATCACCAAGCTCTTCACCATCCCAGGGGACCCCGAGTCCCTTCCCATCCCCTCTGCTCCACCACTCATCTCATCCCAACGAACCATCCAAGAAAGCAATTCCAAGAAGGATGCCATGAAAAGCCACTGACCCACCATCTCTCAAACAAGCTTGGACCGGTAGGACCAGGTCCCGTTTCCTGAATTCACCACCCTAAGAGCCCAGTGCTCATGGCCATCGATGCAGCCCACAGTTCCCCAGCCTTGGCCTGGTGAGTTCCTCATTTCTAACTACCTTTGCCTCCATCCCACCTGGCCCTTCTGTGCCAGGGTCACTGCCTCAGCTTGGATCTTGGCAATGCTGGTCACAGCACCTTCTCCATGAGTCCCGTGGTTACCCACTGACTTGCTCTAGAACCCTAACTCAGCAACGATCCCACCTGTAGAACTTCTGGCCCATCCTCTCCCCAGAGACCTTTCCAGACCCCTATATTTAACATAAATGTCCACTCCACGTTTGCCTCTTTCTGGTACCTTACCCTGCTTTCCTTTCCTCCATAACACTTACTGTGGACAAAATTTTGTTTCATAGTTTGCGTTTTATTATCCATTTTTCTCACCAGATTGTGAAATGCACGTGAGCAAGGGTTTGGTCTTGCTCACAGCTCTACCCCCAACTTTAGAGAAAAACGGCTAAAGCCTGGGTCATCTAGAATTCAGCGCGTACCCAGTCGTTATTTGTGGAATGACTGAATCATTCCTCGTTGATGGACCAAATTCAAGGACCATGTAGTTATGTGAATTACAAGAGAATCTGATCATGAAAAAAGGGCAACCATTGAAACACCAGGCGCCTACTGAAAAGGCATCAAGCCCCAAACAGGTATTCATCCCACCCCGAGCGATTATAAACACAGGCGGGTTCTGCAGGACAGCGAATCGACTGAGACCCGTCAGGAGGAGCAAAGAGGAACTCAGCTCAACTAACTCTCAACGTGCGCCGGGAGGGTGTGATGCCAACACGTTGGCACTCCTTTCAGAAAGCTTTCCTGGGCAAGAGATGACCCTCAAAGAGAGCCCTCCCTGGAGCAAATGCACTTAGGTATCGGACAAGATCACTGCCACACCTCATGCTCGCACCGTCTCCAGGAATCCAGCCTACGAAAGGATTGGGTTCCTTCGGAGCAGGTGCCAGGTGTTTTGTGGGAATAGGATTCTCACTGGTCAGCCTCCCAGGATGCTTTGGTGCTGAAACCAACACCCCTTCTGGAAGAGCGCAGCCCACCTGGGCGGCCACCTCTGCAGAGGTTCGATTCCGGTCGCGGGTGCGCCGAAGGCCACGCAGCACGAGGCAGCATGTGCGCCGAGCTCCACCGTCCACGTACATACCTTGGGCAGGCACAGAAGCCCAGACCTCCTCTCTGAAGGTGCAATGCTGTCTGGGAAGCCCTCCAAAGCAGTATTTGATACTGAAAAACTGGATGTCCCTGTATGATTCGTCATAAATACAGCGAACACAGCAGGGATAACCACTCTTCAAGTACCGAAGGCTACGCCGATGAGCCGTCTTCACCGGAGTGGGCCTTGCCTCCAGCTAGTCCCCCTAAGGACGAATTGGGGACTGAGGGTTAGGAGAACCGGGTGGCGCCCGTCCTATATAAGGCTCATGCTCTCTGGACGACCATGCATTCCTGTCCTCGGGAAGCAGCCGAGGCCAACAGCTCTTCCCAGGAAGCTTCCCAGGCAAGATCAGGACTGTAACTATTTCCCTCGTACAACTCAGCGTAAACAGCGCCAACCCAGCAAGGAGGAGGTCTTTTCGGGGGCCAGGTACGAGCACAGAGAAGGAAACGACACCTCTTCTTCCGGAATCTGTCCCGAAGTCACTGGATAGGTAGGGACTGTGGATCAGTTGACATACATCATTGATAAAATGTATGTTCTCTGATCAACCATCCATTCCCCTATCATGGACAACGCCCTGCTGGGGTCCTGTGGGGCACATCTCCAGGCGGGGGTCTGTCCTGAAAAACAGCAGCTCCGATGTGATTAGCCACAAACACAGTGAAGTCCCAAGAGTCCACGAGACACTGCTCAGCCCGGGGCAGAGCGTCCAGGCCTCCATGCTGCGGCCCGGGGGCTACGCGACTTAATCCTGCTCAAGGCACAGGCTCTGCAATGACCGTTCTTTCAAGTTGTGGGGCAGGTGATCCTTCCCGAAGCCAAGTTACACCCAGGAAGGACTAACCCAGCATCCCGTTTATGACAGAGGAAGCGTGCTAGGCTGACCCTGCAGCGGACAGCGGGCAGCACCCACTTGGATGTGGCAGAGTAGGAGCCCCCCTGCCTCCTCTCATGGGTAGATTGGCTGCTAGGGAAGGTCAGGGGTCATGCCAGTCCTCCCTAAACCTTGGATTGACACTGGCGGCAAAACCTTGCCCTGAAAGGAGGTGTCCTTTCTTCCAGGGGGTCCCGTGGGCAGGATGGACACTGGGAGCTGGAAAACCATTTCATGTATGCGACAGATACCGACCACAGTTCTCTCTCCGAGGGAGCTGGGGTGGAGCTGAGCATGAGAAGGCCTGATCCGCACGGGTCCCCTAAAGATGGACAGTGTCCTTCACCCCATGGACCCTCCCCCAGGTACTGTGGGACGGGGCAGACACCCATCCCTTCCCCGAAGCTGGGACACCTCCACACCACTTTCCACGGGGTGATATCTGTCACCAACAGTGAAACAGCTCCCAGATGGTCCCGGGTTGAGCCCCACGCGCTGACACTGATGAGAACGTTGGCGCCTGTGCCAAGCAGGCGTCTCTCCGGTCTCCTCCTGCAGGCGGAACGAATTGTCTGCGTTAGTGGACGGGAAGCATATTCGTCAGTGACAGGCAGGGACCGGGGTCGACTGTGTATCCACATACCTCAGGGCGAGGCTGGCGGGCCTCTTACTGTGAAGCTGGCGTCCCCAGCAAGCGCCCATCCTGACCCGGCTCCAGGGAAGCACTCACCGTGAGGGCCACCGCAAATCGGGTCAAGTCAGGAGGACAAGAAGCAGCCGGGTTTGGCGGCAGCTGCAGGATGTCGCCCTCCACACAGACGAGAGCCTGCAGGTGATGGGCACAGGTGACACCCACCCCCCACCAAACCCGGGCGCTGGGCTGGCCTCCCTGCCCCAGAAGCAAGGGGATTCGGAAGCCGGTGTCGCAGCCCCAGAGGGGACACTGCAGAGCTGTGGAGGCAGAGGCGCCGGCCCTGCCCTCTTCACCACGGAGGAGCGGGGGGACCGCAGCTCAGATCAGGCCTCTCTGGTACCAAGTGGAAGGACAGGAAAGCCCCCGGGCTCTGCGGCGGCGCCTCCAGGAAGTCCACCTGAGGAGGACAGGGACACCAGGGCAGCGACCTCGGAGAGAACCCGCTGGGTAGTAGAAGCTGGCCTGTCTTTCACATACCTGGGGGCATCCTGGGGACATCCCGACCCTGAGCACAGACTGCCCGCAGAGAAACCTCGGTGAAGGAAGGAGGCTCTCAGGTGTCCCCGTGGAGCGGCAGCTACATCCTGTCCAGCGGGGCAGCCGAGGGCGCAGGAGCCACCCTGCAAAGGACGGTACGGAGGTCAGTGCTGGGGAGAGCGCGACGCCTGGGGGCAGCCTCCCTGGTCAGGCGCCCACGGACCCACCGCATCCCCGGGCCCCGCACTCCCAGGCAGGTCAGCAGTGGCAGGGGGTGACTGGACAAATCGTAAAAACACATCAAATTCACTGCAAAAAACACAGCACACCAACCCCACGTGTCCCATGCTGGCCCCCCGCCGGGAAGCACCCCTCTACTCTCGGGACCAGCCCGGCACACGCACACGCAAGGCACACGCTCTCACGTCTCCTGTGCGGGTGGCCCTCCGAGGCAGAGTTTGATGTTCAAGAAGAAGTTAACCATGTATTATTCATAACGAATGGAGCGAACATAGCACGGATAACCTCTCCTCAAACATCCCCGAATAAGCTAAAGGCAAACCGCGGCCGCTCCCCACCATCGGCGTTCCTCTGGAACATTCCTCTCAGGGTGCGCTGAGTCCCGAGGGCCAGCGAGCCAGGTGGTCAAGTCCTGTAATGAGTACAGGTGTGGGCACCCGTCACCCGGTCCTGCGCCCTGGTCCCGGGGCCTAGACGTGACCCAGATACCGAGGTCCACACTCCCAAATTAGAACCGTTTTGGAAAGACTTCCAAAGCAGGTTCAAACCCTAAAACAAAAAAATTAAATAAAATAAAAGCCTTCTCCATGGATGGATCTGATAAGAATTGTGCAGTGGAAACCTATCTAATCTTATTAACCAGTATCACCCCCAATACGTTTAACTTTTTAAAAACGGGTCCCAAAATAAAGAAAGAAAGAATCAGAAGCCAACAGATCCACGCGTGTGGTGTAAGCCAAGCCATCACAGGTAATAAATACCTCTTCTGATGAAGCAGAGCGTCTCGGGTTCGCGAGTCAGGGTCTCAAGGGCAAGACGGCCTGGGTTCCAGGAATGCCTCCTTGGGGCTGACTGGAAATGGAGAATCACAGAATTAGAGGGCCCAGCCATCGATAACTCCTTTGACCCAGCCCCTGCCCACCCTGGCACTGGGCTGACACCTGCGGCCTCTCCCAAGCGTGGGTCTTCTATCTGGGAAGCCCTTCGGGACATCATGACTTAATTCCGGAGAGGAGTAACCGCGTGGCACTCACACAGAGAGCGAGCCCGTCATAGGCAACCACGGCTCGCAAACCACAGGGCGGCGTGTGGACTCTGGGAGGCCCTCCCACCACAGAGGGCAGAGGGAAGGTGGCGCTCAGGGGACACACATCTCAATAAAACACATCCCCCTCCAACGTCTCCAGCCCCGCACTGTTCCGAGTGGCATCACCGACCGGTAGCATTAGCATCACTTGGAAACTTGCTAAAAATGCAGAATCTTGGTCCCTGAATCAGAATCTGCCTTTTAACAAGATCCCTAGGTGATGAAAATCTTAGAGGCAGTTTAGAGTTTGAGAAATACAACTCTAGCCAACACACACACACGCACATACACACGTACACACGAACACGCCCCAGAGGTGCCGTGGACCAGTGTCTTATTACTAAAGTTTGTGTCCCATGGGGTCAAGAGTCTCTAAGATAAAGTGGGTCAGAAAGAAGGCATTGGCCATGCCAGCCCCCCTCAGGAATAAACCAAGCCCTCAACAGAAGGCTGCTCAGAACCCTGAGCAGTAGGAGAGGCAGGGAATGTGCTTCCTTAATGATTGCCCCCTCCTCCAGGAGGCCTTCCATGCTCTGACTCTATGCCAAAGGTCAGGAGGTGAGGACTAGAGGCCCCGGTCCACCAACTAACTGCCTAGAGAGATGCCTGACACCAGCATCTCTTCACGGAATCCCTTGTGGCTAAGATTTAATGCAAGAAGAGAAAGACAGATGAATAATTAGCAACATCTTCCCAATGGCCCCAGCCTCCCACACTGTCTCCACCCCGAAGCCGGCATCAGTGCAGGGACAGCACACCCGAGGGTGGCTTGCCTTCGGGCTCTTGAGTTAGTTGCTACATCATCAAGAAGCTCCTGGGGGTCAACACTGGGCTTGAAAGAACTTCTGAAGCAAATTTGGATACTAAGACAATGGTTGTCCGATATTAATCACCATAAATAGAGAGACCATACTACGGACAGCCATTCTTTAAGCACCAAAGATCTGAGCATCCAGGAGAGCTTGGCATCTTCTCCAAAGTCCGCGTCCCTTCCAGAAAGGTCTTCTCAAGTGATCCTCAGGCAATCAGGGTTAGCAGGTCCCCTTCACACACTGATAGAAGGCATGTGCTTGGGGGTCAGTCACATCCCTAGGAAGGGGGAGGGGCACTGACACCAATGGCCTGTCCCAAAAGTTGGCATCGGGTCCAAGAAGTGCCTTCAAGAAGCAGGACAGATGGACTGTGAATGCCATGTCATCCGTAACACACACCCATGACCATTGGCAGTTCTAAGGGTCCCACTGGCCCCCCACTGGCCCTCCGCCAGCCCGGCNCTCCAAGGGTCCCACTGGTCCCCCACTGGCCCTCCGCCAGCCCGGCCTCTCCTGCAGGGCCCTGAAAGTTAAGAGCACAAGTGCGCCCCCTCAAAGGCCAGCTGCATGCTCTCTCCTCTGCAGCCTGGCACGGGCCCCGCCCAGGGGAGTGGCGGCCAGTCTCATTGCTTTACAGGACTATCGTGGAGCCCAGGAAGTCCGCCGAGGCAGGATTTGATGCTCGAAAAGAAATTGTCCTTGTATGATTCATCAAAGGGAACTCGAACACACCAAGGATAATTTCTCCTCAAGTATAAAACAGGAGCACGGACGGGAACACTGGCACCTCCAGGTCTGTGGCTCATGGGTGGACAGTGACAAAACTCAGCAACTGCAGGCTCACACACATGCACACACCACACACGCACAGTGCATGCTCCAGAGCACACTCCTCACTCTGCTTGGCTTCTGCGCCCCAAGAGTCCTTCGGAGAGTGGATGGTGGCTGAGGCCAAGAGTCCAAGGGCTGCCCCTTTCTTACACGGAGCCAAAGCTCTCAATTTGCCAGGGCTTAGCTGCCGCACATCAAGAGCCTAGGTCGCCCCCATTGTAAATACGGCATAAACCCTGGGCTCAAAAATCCATCCACATACTTGGGGGGGGGGTTGACGTCCACGTATGGACATTGCCCCAAACACCAAGGAGAGAATTCACCACCACCACCACCACCACCACCATCTCAGGGGACACAGAGTCACGGCTACCACGCGTGCGCCAGGCTCTGCCCTAAGACTCGCGTGAATCCTAACTCATTCAGCCCCAGCAGCACCTCCCGTCGCCCCGCCCAAAGCCCATGTGACACGTGGGACAGCAGACATAGCGATGAAATCCTTGCCCAAGGTTGCACGGTTAGTAAGTGTCAGAGGCGGGATCCAAGCACGGGAAATCGAACTCTACAGTCTGCGCTCTTGATACTGAAAAAGTGGATGACCCTGTACGATTCGACATGAGTAAAACGAACAGGACAGGGATAACCACTCTCCAAGTACCAAAGGTTAGCACGGAAAAGAAAGCCACTGCCCTGGGAGCACTTGGCATGTCTTCAAGGCGCAGTCCTGGGGACGAATTAGACGCTGAGGGTTAGTGGACCAGGTCACACACACCACAGAGCACAGCATGCAGGCTTAAGTACCGAACACCACAGAGAGGACACGACACCACGCCACGCCACGCCACGCCACGCCACGCCACACCAATGCCAACCTGGCCGGCTTGGACCAGGCCACACACAGCGCATGCCTGCTCGCCCCACCCCCACCAGGGCCACGCAGAACCAGGCCTGGCAACATTCCCCGGGCCACTGCCGTCTCTCAAGTCGACCGTGTGCCCGTGAAGTCATCTCTGCAGACCGGCGACCCACGAGCGATGTGCCACACACCAAACGAATACACACTGTCATGCACACATACCGATCCCTTGCTGAGTGTGCACTGGGTCCAAGGTTTGATATTCACAGAGAGCTTGCCCTTGTATATTCTATGTCAAAACCCGAATATACAAAGGGCAACCTCGCTGTAAGTACCAAACAATAGCTTTGGGCAGGTCCGCCGCTATGGTTCGTGGGCTGGCCTCGGCTCCCACAGCTGGTCCTGGGGAGGGGGAGGGAGATGCAGGATCCAGGCCAGGGGCACACGCCTCTTGCCAGGTGTGTGCCGGCGGGTCCGCTCTCCATCCCTCAGAGCCCGGGGCGGGGCCGATGCCAGTGCCCTTCACTGAAGTTGGCATCATTTCCAGGAATCTGTCCAAAGCAGGACTTGTTCCCGAAAAGGAGTTCAACCCTATGGCCCGAGAGCACACACAGAGCTCAGCTTCTCAACTTCCCCCAGACAGTGCTGGGGTGGAGCCGGCATGGCACCTCCTCCAGGAAGTTCTCCTGACAATGTATGGGCACAGAGGACAGGGACAGGGAGGGTTTACATAGTATAGAAGCAAAGGCCCTGTGTTCGATGTCCGGCCATACACCCTACAGAGGTGTGGCCATCAGGGTGGCTCCCCCGCGCCCACCCCCTCCTCACCACCCTCTTGCAGCCATGCTGGGAAAGAGCTGATACTGAAAAGGAGTCAGACCTCATGGAGGCTGTGTCCCGGAGAGAGCAGATTCAAGGCCAATTGCCCTCGGTGGCCTTTCCCCAGGAGGGCCTCTACCCTATAGAAGGCTACAGGTGAGCGGGTGGCCTTGGCTCATTGCCCTCCCAACTCGCCCACCCCCACGAGGTGCTCACCCTCCAGAGGAAGACGTTCACTCTCCTTGACAAGAGAGACATTGCCACACGCCTCCTCTGATGCTGGCCTCAGGGCCAGGTGACCCCCATGGCTGTCAGGGCGAGCAAAGCAGTCACGCGGCCCAAGAAATGTCTCCAGCAACACAGCTCCAGAGCCCCTTTGTCCCGGCCAGCATCCTAGGAGTGAGCAGATACAGGAGGTCAGAGGGCCAGAGGACAAACATCGAGACAGAAGCCCTTCCCTCTGACCTTCCAACATCCACGTACCTGGCCCAGGGAGATGTCTGCCTGGCTTCTCCCCAAAGCCGTGCAGTTCCTGTGGAGGACACTGTCTCCAGGTGGGACTTGAACCACAAATCACAAACAGAAATAGCTCTTACAGATTCATCTCATGGGCCACATACAAGGAGAATATCCACCAAACACCAATGAGGACTACTGATGAGTAAACCTCCACCTCTTCCCAAAGGCAGACGCCACCTCCAGGAAGTCCTCCAGGATGGATTCACAGAAGTCAGTCAGGCTTGAAACCATCATAAATAGAGCCGGTGCTCTGTGGTCCACTGTCATTCACACGTCTGACATCGAGGCCTCTCTCCTGAGCTGGATGTGAGGAAGCCTCCTGGATGTGACTGGGCACTGACAAAAGGTAGGTCCAAACATGGTTCATCTTTTAAAAAGCAAACCACCCTTCAACTCAGTGCAGACAATAGAAAGCCTGCACAGAGGGCGTGGCCTCCGGGAGAGTCCCTGAGGGGGACCTGGGGACCAGGCTCACAGAGGACACCGCGTGCAGGCCGGGAAGCGGGACATACCTGATGGGGCTGATTACGGCGACTGTGTCCTGAAGATGCTTCTGGGTCCGGGCGCCTTCCCGGGCAGTTTGATACGCAAATAAGAGTCTCCCCTGTACATTCACCATTAATAAAGTGAACATACAAAGGGTATTCTCTTTTCAAGTACCAAAGAGCAGCTCCGGTGAGGACCACATGTGCCGTCCACAGAGGGCGTTCCTGGGGGGCCTGAGACCAAAGGGGTGGGGCCGGCGACAACCCTCCACCCTACGTGCTGTGACCCAGCCCTGGAATGGGCTGTACTAGCCAGTGTCTCTCTAAGATAGGCTTATCTCCCCACAGACAGAGTGGAGGGGAAGGAATCCTGTACGACATCCCATCAGAGCCTGCAAAACCACCCTGGGGAAGGAACGACAGCCCCTGCCCAAAGCCACTGCCTCTAGGAAGCGCACCTGATGACACAGGGCTGCTGGGGGTTAGAAGCCACAAGAGCATGCATCATTAAAGAGAAAAAGAAAAGAGGAAACCCAACACGTCACGACCGCCCATGCATCCACAAATCGTGCAGCGGCTCGAAGACAAGAGTCCCTTCTCCCGGACTCGGCACCGTGAGCAGAAGCCGCCTGAGCGGTTAAGGGCGGTCATCTAGTGCGAGACTCACCAAGGGGAGAGGAAATGCCCACGGGCCGCTCTAATGAAACAGACGGTGGCCTCAGTCATGCCACAGTCTTTCCATCACGATTGCCAATGATGGAAAATGCCTATGGACTAGAGGGAACGGGATTCCAGGTCCCGGTGCCAAGTCCTATAAAAACATGGCGCTTTGGGCACCCGTACCCATCCCTTGACTTCGAATGGACATTAAGGCCCAGAAGTTGGCCCAGGGATGGGCTGGGTGTGGAGGGTGGTAAACCAGACGACCCAAATTTAAATTAGATGCTAACTTTGCGGTTGACCATTCGGTGGCATGCCTGGGAGGCATTGACCCTGAGGTCGCCTCCCAGGGCCTGGCATCATGTCTGGTAAGACATGGGTGCCACTAAGAAGGCCCACAAAGGAAGGTACCACCTTCTAAACAAACAGCAGGTACAAAAAGAAACCCCCTGCACCATCTCCATCATTTCTTCCGGAGAGTTCTGTGTAGGATGCATGGGATGAGATGGGAGAGAGGACCGAGCCACAGACGGCCCATGAGAGAGGCGCATGCCCGTGGTCAGCCATGCACTGGCACTGGCACACGCAAGAGCAGCACTAGCCTTGCCTCCAAGAAGCCCCCCAGGCAGGTGTCACTCTCCAGAGAGAGCTTGCCTTGTACATTCATTACAAACAATGCAAACACAGGGAGGACAGCCTCCCTTTAAGGAGCCAGTGACAGCACTGGTGGGAAAGTCACTATCATGGGACAAAGTTCACATCAGGGGGAGAAGAGTGGGTAGAGATGGAAGAAGGCATAGAAGAGATAAATGGTGATGGAAAAAATAAAATTAAAATAATAATAAATCCTTTTGACACCCCCCCCCAAAATTATCATCAGCTCCAGCGGTGAGCCTAAGATAAACAGGCTGGATCACAGCTCCATTCCTTCCATGTCCCCGGGAGTGGCACCCCCACCACCCCACCCCTTCCTAAACTTGACAGGCTACCTAGGCATTCTCTAGGGTTACAGCAGAAGAGGTTGATTCCAAAAATCACATTATAAACTTGATAGCACACAGAGAACAAAGCTCATTTCAGGTCAATGAAGCAATACAGAGTGTAGCCTCTGAACAACACGGCCCGCTGAGGGCGGACGGCCACGTGGACCATCTCGTACAGAGCTGGGCCACGGTCCCGGGAGGGCCCTGGGGACCACATTTCTTTGATGGTGACTTCACGTCCTCGGAGGTCTCCCAGCAGCATTTGATACTGAAAACGTGGATTTTCCTCTATGATTAATCGTAAGTAATGTACTCATAGAAGGAGAATCTACCTTTTAAATACCAAGGAAGGACTCTGTCCCGGAGAACGCGAACCTGTGCTTGCATGAGACATGACAGGGACACGGGGGAGACAGGCTTCCAGGTAACCGGGACCACAGACCCACGGCGCAACCTTGCCCCAGCTGGCTCCTTGGCAAGAAATGGCTCAGAAGGCCGGCGATGCTCAGGCGCAGGCCCGAAGGACCCGGCGTGCACCATGGCCTTTCCCACCCGCCCGGGCCGAGGGGGCTGAGAGCAGGGCGTGCCCCACAGTCCCTTCCGGAAATATTTCCAAAGCAGCATTTGATACTGAAAACATGGATTTTCCTCTATGATTATCTATGAATGACGTAAACATAGAAGGAATATCCACCTTTTAAATACCAAAGAGAGAACGAGTTCCGGAAAGGACAAATCCGTACCCAGCTCCTCAAAAGTGGGAGCCAAGTCATGTTGGGTCCCATGGCCAGGCCATGACCCAGTGGGCTCCCTCAGTGACAGGGGACTTCTAAAGGTGATGGTCGGCAGACATATGGCTTGAAGGAAGCACATGTTCCGCCGTCCAACATCTTTCACTGACCCCGGAGGGGCCGGCCCTGCTCACCTCGCCCCCGGCCCTGCCTTCCGTCCAGGAAACATTCCCAGAGCAGCATTTGATACTGAAAACGTGGATTTTCCTCTATGACTAACCATCAACCACGTAATCATAAAAGGAAAATCTACCTTTTAAATACCAAGAAAGGTGAGTCCCAGGAAGCGTGAACCTAGGCACCATCCGTCCAAAATGAAAGCAACGTCACGTGGGATAGACTGTTCAGTGGCCATGGAGAGGCCGTGACCACAGACCCCAGCCTCTCCTCTAGGTGGGCAGGTGGTCTTCAGATGCGGCAGGATGGAGCACACAAGTTTTGGGGACCCGCTGTCTGTCTGCTCGCCCTTCGGGGCTGCCCCACCCAGCCCCCCTGACGTGGGTTCGCGCACGGACGTCTCTGAGAAGAGTTTGATACTGAAAAGGTGGAATTTCCTCTACGTTTAACCGTAACCAACACAAACATAGAAGGAATATCCGCCTTTTAAATACCAAAGAGGATTTGGTCCCGGCAAACACGAACCCAAGCGTAAGTCGTCGAAAATGAAGGGCCCGCGGGACAGGCACGTGGGTGTGGGCCTCCTGGGGAGATGTGGGGATGGCGCGCTAAGGAGGACCTGTCCCCTCTCCTCCGGAACAGACCTGGGATCCGCCCTCCATAACCTTCTTCTCTCTTCCCCGAGGGGGGCTTTGTGTTCAGGACTGTTTTTAGAGCAACTTTAGATACTGAAAACGTGGGTTTTCCTCCATGGTTAACCACAAACCCCGTAAACATAGAAGGAAAACCCACCTTTTCAATACCAAGCACGGCTCAGCCCTGGAAAACAGCGACCCGAACACAGTTCATAAAGAATAAACGCAACCGGGGGGGGGCTGAGCCCATTTTACGCCCCAGGACATCAGAGCCCAGCCTCCTCCTGTCCAGGGGCCGGCCTGATGAAAAGGCACAGGACCTGGGGTCTGCCCTGCGGTCACCCGCCCTGCCCGGGGGAGCCCTAGGGTCTCTGCCACAGCAGGGATTTTGCCAGGAGCAGTATTTCCAAAGTAGTGTATTATCTTAGAAAAGTGGGTGAACTTCTAAAATTCACCATAAATACAGCAAGGACAGCGGGCATGGCCATCCAGTAATTTCCAGAAACAGCACAGAAAGACAAACACTCTACAAAAACCCTAAAGTCCGATCAATTCCACGAAGCCCGTCTCCGGCACCTGAAGACAAAGGTCACATCAAGTGTGCGCTGGACAGGTGAACGTCCTTTCACAGACCTGGGAGGGATGAAGACATCATGGAACCTTCCAAAAAGGGAGACTTGGGTCCAGAGGTCCCACAGGCAGGATTTGATAAGCTGGTGTGGTAGACTGTTAGGAGTATGTTAGACTGATCACCAACTGTAGCTCTTCAGACACAGCTCAGTGGTAGCAAAGCACCGGTTCAGCCAGCTACCCCCACCCTCAAAACTGCACGGCTTCCAGAAAAGTCATTTCTCAGGTNCACAGGCTGATCACCAACTGTAGCTCTTTAGACACAGCTCAGTGGTAGCAAAGCACCGGTTCCCCCAGCTACCCCCACCCTCAAAACTGCACAGCTTCCAGAAAAGTCATTTCTCAGGTGGGTTGGATGCAGGGACTTACCAACATAGGTGCTGTGAACCCTTGGTAAAGCATGCTTCCAAAAGGAAAAAGTACAGCACCAACAATCGCAGGCTCAGTCCCTGTTCTGCAAGNACATAGCTGCTGTGAACCCTTGGTAAAGCATGCTTCCAAAAGGAAAAAGTACAGCACCAACAATCGCAGGCTCAGTCCCTGTTCTGCAAGGTTGCAACCCCCTCCAGGAAGTCCTCCTAAACATAAATTCGATAAAGATGACAAATAGGCCATCAATGAAGCATGTGTTCTATGGTTGACCCTCCATTCACAGCCCACAAAGGGACACCAACACCGATACTGCTTTTCTAAAGTTGAAATTGGTTCCTCAAAGTCTCAGACTTAAAAAGCACTGCTGGTCACAAGGGTGGGATTAGGCATTTCTCCTAAGGAGAAATGGACCCTGAGGGTAAGTGGACCAGGTAACGCCCATCACCTAAAAGAGCCAGAGTCACTTCCAGCACTCTCAGCATGTTGAGGAAGCAATGCTCATTCCCCAAGTCCCCCAAACACAATTCATCATAAATAAAACAAACGCACATGGCCAGGTATTCCTCACATACCACCGGGGGCAATGCCACGCATCCCAGGCTGGCGCCTCCTCCATGAAGCCCTGTCAAGGAGAAATGAGACAGGCTGGTTAGGGGATCAGATGGTCGAAGGCATAAATAACATAAGTACCCTCTGGGGCCAGCATCATTCCTGCCCCCAGGAGGGGTTTTTATTAGCAGGGCCGTGCACCAGGATGGTGCGCCATCCAGGAATAATTCCTGGTGGGGTTTTTATTTTTTTTAATCTGAAATGCAGGTGGCCAGGCAAGATCTGGGCTAGATGTAGTGACTAGTCACAAGACTCCTCTTCTGGTGTCCTAAGAGAACAGAGTCAACCCAGCTATTGTCTCTGCCAAGAAATCGGCAGAGCCACAAAGCTGATGACCTGCCGGTTCACCTCGCTGTCACCAGCCCCTCCCCTGCCTGCTTCCCCCTCCCCTGGAACGGCCTTTCCTGAGACCACATCTTGAATAAATCACTTGTCCACAAATCCTCTCCAAGTTTAAGACAAAAGCACAAATTAGTAACCACAGCATGGGTTCTGGGGGGACCACAGGAAGAGATGTTCCAGACTGGGTCCCAGGAGCTGGGTACCACTCACGGTTAGGTTACATGGGACGGAGGGGCACCTGAAGAGCCTGAGCATGCAAAGGCCTTTAGTCTCTCTCTCTCTGTTAGGCATCTGGAAATTGTAGTAACTTTCCCAAGCAAACCGGTATTGTGCCTTTAAAAGAGCTAATAAAATAAAGTTACACTGAAATCAGTTATGTATGAAAACACTGGTGCACCCGCCACATACTCATAAAAATTCCCAGTATCATCTCTTATTTGTCATTTTGATTTTCTCAGTGTTTTTCTGTGTCTTAATTATTCTTTTAGCGGTTAAGCTTCGGAAACCAAGGGCCCGCATCGTGTACATTTCCAGAATGTTCTAGAAATCTGAAAACCGTGTTAAATGTGGGTTTACCACTCTTCGATGACTTTTAAAAAGAAATGGGTGTCGCAGAACCAAGATTTTCACGTTTATAGATTTGCCTTAAGAGAAACGACATTATGTGATATTAAATAAATTCTCAACTATCAGACTAAAAGCTACAAGAAAACACCTGCCATCTGGTCACTCATCCGCTCCCAGGCCCTCGGAGGGGCCACGCTCACACCCCGCTTCCGACCGGCGTATGCGGCGCGTCCTTCAGAAGGCATTTGATGAAGAAAAGAGATCAACCGTGCAATATCTGCCGTAAGCAAAGCAAATACATCACGGACAACCTCCTCTCGAACATCTCAGACCAGCGTCTGGGACCCGCTCCTCCTCCGGCGGCCGGGCGAGAGCCTGCAAAGGATTGGGGGGGGTTAGTGCGCGGAGACGAGACGCCATCGAAACGCGCTACACCCTGGGGGGCGGCGGGAGTGGGAAGTCTTGGCCCCCCGCGGAAGCAGCAGGGGTCAGGAGCCATCCACCTGGGCTGTGAGCAACTGTACCTTTCATGTGTCCGGCAGAGAACCAAGGGACAACTGGTCTTCACAGGGCACAGGTGACTCAGCCAGACCTCTGGGACAGCCGCTGCTCCCCCGAGGATGTTCTCACCTCCAGGAAGGCCTCTGATGGGGGACAGGTCCAGAGGGTGAGGGGGGCAGAAGCCAACCACATGCTGAGGCCAGCGTGGCCCAAGTGCCGGGGAGAGGCGCCCTCAGCATCTCTGCCCAGAAGTCGCGCTGGGCCTCACTGGTGGCAAATCACCCTCAAAGAAAATTGCACCCGTATGTCCCGCCATAAAGGAAGCCAAGAAACACAGGCACCCGGAGCCACCCCACGGCCTCTTGCCCTGCCTGTGGAGCTCCAGGAACTCCTCCTAGGAAGGCGGATGCTGAGGTCAGGGGACCACCCTCCAGGCAACCACAACTGCTACCCACACCCTCGAGACAACGACCTACCACTTACCCGTGTGCCGAAGCCACCAAGTCCCGGCTCCAGCAGCCTCTCCTTGGAGTTGGATTTGATACTGAAGAGAGGTTGGCCAAGAATGATTCGTCACAAATAAAACGAATCCACCTGGGAAAACCTCTCTCCAAGTACCACAGCACAGAAGCGTCCGCGGAGGCCTGTGGCACCTCCTCCGGGAAGGTGGCCAGAGGATGGAACAGCGTGGAGGCCAGGAGACACGGTGCTGGCGTCCTTCCTGAGGGACACGTTCTGCAGTCATGTCCACTCGCTGTCCTGACTCGGGGCCGACACCGATGCCGAGGGCACTGAGGAGCACATCCCCTGGGGCAGGACCAGAACCTGGAAGAGTCGGCTGGGGGATTAGCCCCAGGAGCATGACCCCTGGGGGAAAACCCCTCTCCCAGGACCACAGGGACTCGGTCTTCCACCAGCGTCATTGTCCCCAGTCACTTCTACTGGGGATGCGCGGGTGACAGTCCGCCAGGTGAGCCGTCATCTTTAAAATGCACCGCTGGCACCCGTCACGCCGCACCTGGAGAGACGGGTGGGCGCTTTCCTTGCCTCCTGCATGTCTGTTGTTACTGCAGCTGCCCAGTTATATCGGGTTTTTGGCTGCTCTCATCTGAACTCCGTCACCATAGGACGTGGAAACAGGTCGACCAGCCTCCCTTGCAGCGGGGGAGCTGGCGTGTGACCGGGGTCTCGCCAACTGTGCCTGTTCTTACAGGTGGCACAGCCTGCGGCTGGACAGAGGACGGCTGGACATCGAGTGTCCCCGAATCTGCCAACGGGCAGTGTAAGAGGCCGAATCCTCCACGTACATACCAAGAGGGGCAGCAACACCAAGGCCCCTCCCCAACGGTCCACCAGGGCGGAGGCTCTTCAAGGTGAGAGTTGGCACCGGAAAAGAAGTGCACCATGTTTGTTTCGTCACGTATTAAAGCGAAAAGAACATGGGCAACTTCTTTTCAGGTACCAGCGATGAGCACGCTGGGCACCGTCTGCACTGGCTCACCTCCAGCAGCCACCTGGGGGTGAAGGGACACTGCGGTTAGGGCGTGGCGGCGAGGCCTGGACAGCCAGGGGCACCAGCCCCCCGGAGGAGGCAGACGACAAGGCGAGTCTGGGAAGCCCTTGCTGACGGGGCAGGTCCCTGAGCCCAGGGGGAAGCGGGGTCCTCACCATGGATAAAACCAACCAATCCCAGCCTGCCTGAGCTTCGGGGTCCCCAGAAGTCTTCTTGGGCAGAATTCAACAATCAGGGCCAGCAGGTTCCAGAATGTGTAGTATCAGCTCCACAAAGGCGTCATTTCACAGTAAAACGCATGGTCCCGGACCCTGAAAGAAAACTGAGTCAGTGAGGTTCCTGGTGGGATACAGGAAACTGAGGCTGTGGAATTAAGAGAAAAGAGCCACCGAGGCAGCAGGAGCTCCCTGTGGACCATCCATCGTGTGCCTCGCGTGGTCCCGACACCCGTGTCCCTCCTGTGTGGCACTCCTGGTTCCACCCAGGCACACTTTTGTTCTCAACACCAGCAAGTTCAGTTGACCTGTAACAAATACAGCAAACCCATGACCAAGCGCCAAAGAACACCAGGAAGGAGGCGATGCCGTCTTCACCCAGGTCCTCATTACTCCCAGGAGGTCCTCCCAGGGAGACAGGCTCTCTGGGGTCAGATGGGTCAGGGGACAAGCTCTGGAGCCACCGTCCTTCAGGTCTCCCGGAGTGGGGCCCGAGGGCCCGTCCCTGGACTCAAAACACATTAGTCGTGTCTTACTTGTAATGAATGAACTAAAGCAGCAGGTCAATGCAAAGTAAACCCGCAAGAAAAAGCCTCCTTTCACCACGCACCCGCCTTAGTTAGGATACCGAGGACAGATGGACCAACAGACACACATCCCTGAAAGAACTCAGGTTCTCCAGGCGCACGGGGTTTGGTGGCATCTGTTTATATCCCAAGAAACAGAAAACCCGACTCGAAGGGGCTTAAACAACGAAGGGATGTTTGGGCTTATCCAATGGAAAGTGTGGAGGCCGGGCGAGCTTCAGGCAGGGTTTGGGCCAGGGGTTCAAATGACATCCCCCAGGTCCTGATTCCTCTCTAACGCCCCAGTACCCCTTCTGTGGCGCAGGCCTCCCCCCTCGGTCTGCACGGTCTGCGCACGCAAAGCCCCAGGCTCTTTCCTCGTGGCCTCTACGTGGCTGTGGGAGCCTCAGGGCTCACGGCATCAGGCCGCACGGCTGAGGGGGCAGAGGCCCTGCGGGCCGCTCCCTCTGCGGGGCGAGAGGCACGGCCCCTCCCGGCCGCCTCAGGGACCATCGCCCTGGGCGCCCCAGGCTCATGGAGTTGGGGGCCCTGCTTTGAACCAATACCAGCAGCAGATGGGGAGGGATACAGCGGCTCCCTTAACCCTGGGCACGTGTGTGTGCTTGTGTATGTGTGTGCGTGTTGTGTGTGTATAGGTATATTTATGTGTTGTGTATGTGAGTTTTGTGTGTTTGTGTGTTTGATGTGTGTGTGCTAATGTGGTTTGTGTTTGTGTGTATCTAACTGTTTTATGTGTGTGAGTTTCTGTGTGTTGAAGTGTTTTTGTGTGTGTTTTATGTGTTTGTGTGTTTATGTGGTGTGTATGTGTGTTTCTATGTATATGTGTGTTTATGTGACGTGTGTGTGTGGGGCGGTGTCCTTCCAACCCAAGCCACGCGAGCGGAGAGGGCAGCTTTCAGGAGAGGAGCCGGGGAGCAGGGGGGCAGGGCAAGGGGTGCGGGGGGACCTGGGCCGCAG